CCCGCCCCACTTAGGACTAAAGATATTGTCCACCACTACCTTCCAGAGAGGTCTCCGCATTAGAAGTCGTTCAGGGAAGCAAAGGGTGTCATACCCCAGTGAACTCAGGCACCCGGGCTTCCATTCTGCTCTTCACTTCTTCTGAAAGCCACAATTTTCCAGAAAGCCACCATCCTCCAGGAAGTCCCTGGGTGAGGCCAACAGGGAAGCACTTAGCTACTCACTGTGAGTTTGGAGGCTCTCCAATACCTGGAGGCACCTAGGAAGAAAGGGCTGGCAGTCTGCTTGCGAACAATCTTCCACTGAACACCCTGTAATGCACACCTCTTCTCTGACACACCGAGGCACCTGAGTGAGAATGAAGAGCACCTGGTTTGGTTGTATTATCACCTGCAGGATGGGATTCCCACCACTGATGACTGGCCTCTAGGGACCCGGCGTAAGTAGCCGGGACCAGCTTGGCCAAGGTTGGCTTTGCTCATTCCTGATGTGGCTCAGACCTAGGGCACAGCCTCGTGGCCTAGAGAGTTACATGTTGGGCTGCTAACCTCAAGGTTGGCAGTTTGAAACCACCAGCCGCTCGGAGGCAGAAAGACAAGGCTTTCTACTCCTGTGAAGAGTTGCAGTCGTGGACACCCACAGGGGCCATTCTACTCTGCCCTAGAGGGGCACTGTGATTCAGAACTGACTTCACAGCAGGGACTTTTGACCAGAAGCAGCCAGACACCAAGAGGCATGTCTGCCCATCTTAGGAGCCAATGCTCTGCCTTGTGTCTTGTCAAACATGACCCACGCTCCAAGGTGCTGGGGCCCCACCATGGAGGGTGGCATCAGGCCTGGCTCTCATATCATCCTTAATTGAAGGCGTTCGTCCCAGCAAGCGCAGAGCAGAGCCACACTCTGGCTGTGCCCACACTGTGCCCTGGATGAGGGTGACCAGAGGACACCTTTGGGGGCGGGAAGGGGTTGTGAAAGTGGAAGATGATTTGTTGTTTTCCCACATCACGTGGCTATCCCATCGGACCCCTGGCTGGTCACATGATTTCATCTGTAGCGTCCCCCGCCCTTTGTCCCATGTTTCCTGTTTAGACCACGCAGGCCGGTGAGCCCTGGGGGCCACCGTGAAGCTCCAGGGCTGAGTGAATGAGTCCAAAGCACGGCCCCTGCAGCCCCCAGCCCGAAGCCCTGCTGGCTAGGCAGGTGCTTCAAACACCGGCTAGCTCTCAGCCACTCAGAGTGAACAGTGCCCCCTGGATCTGAAGTCAGGGCTGAGATCAAACCCAATCTGTGTGACTCCATACTCCTCCCTTCGAGGTCGAATTGCCCCCGTAGACCAGACTAACTTAGCTCTGCTCTTAACTGCCATCAAGGCTACCATGACTCAGAGTGACCCCATGCCAGTCCTGTGCCAACCCGTGATCAGTTGTGGATAGGACTACAGCGAACCCTCGCCACTTCGCGCTTCGACTTCCGCGGCTTCACTCTATCGCGGTTTTTGTGTAACAGCGCATGCTCTGTCATTACTGCCACTGATTGGCTCATACTGTACACGCTTGATGCCATAAGTAACATAATAAATAATAAATGATAATTGTAACGTCCAAAATGTTTTACTGTATTTTCCCTTTTTCGTTTAATAAATTGGGTAATACGAGTGTAATGGTGACTAAAGGGTGTTTTTTCAAGTCCTCTATGCTCTAACTACAAAAATACTTGATTTACAAATAAGGAATCCTACTTCGCGGAATTTCATTTATCACGGTAGGGTCTAGAACCGATTAACCGCGATAAACGAGGGTTCACTGTATTGTCAACCATAGAGTTTTCATTGGCTGATTTTTGGAAGCAGGTCACCAGGCCTTTCTTCCTAGCCTGTCTTAGTCCCCACTGAAACCTGTTCAGTTTCACGGCAAGTCTCCAGGGACAGACAGTGGTGTTTGCACGTGACAGACATTGTCCAGGAATCAAACCTGGGTCTCCTATGTGAAAGGCAAGAATCCTACCACAGAACCACTGCTCCTACATCTAGCTTTGGCTAAGAGACTATCTAGAGAGCCCACTTTCTGCCTACATCCTCCCTGTTCACTCTGCCTGTGCCGTGCCCCTGCCTCAGCCCCTCCTTGACTCCCACTGCTCAATCATCCACGTCCCGGCACCTTGGCACGAGCTCTAGGCCTCCTCACTGCTCCCAAGGGTCCCTTCTGCTTACCCACCCGGTGTTCTGGGACATGCAGGGCAGCTCTCCGCCTTCCTCGTCACAGGCTGCGTGCCCTGGCTGCTGGCTCCCCTGTGCCCTGGTGCCGAGGTCCTTCTGTGAGTGCGCACCCATGTGTCTTCAATCCCTGCTCTCTCTCTCTCTTGCAGCAATGGATGGTGTACCGTTTATGATCTCAGAGAAGTTTTCTTGCATTCCAGAAAGTGTAAGTTGAAGCATGTTGCCCTACCCGCCGCCACCCCAACCCCTTTCCTCGTGACCCCCCGCCCCCCACCCCCCCACCCCCCGCGAGCCTGGCCCACCTCCACCTTCCAGTGACTGCGAGAGGGTGCGGGAGTGGGTGCGGGTGGTGTGGGCATCGTCAGCTAGCGCGGCACCTCCTAGGGGCTTGAGAAGGGAGAGAGAAACTGAGGGACTGCTGGGAGAAGAGAGAGACAGACTAACAGACAAGCCCCGACCTGGCTGAGCGCCTTGATTTCAGACCTGAAGGTGCATCGGCCTGAACCCCACGGGTTTTCAGTGGCCTCCCTCTCTCTGGCTTTTATTTCCCGGTGGCAGTATGCAGCAGACCCAAGCCTGCCTTGGCTCCTGGTGCTGTTGCTGCATTCCTGCGAAGGCAGCATGCAGGTGCGGGACACCCCGTAGCTGGGGCTCAGCGCAGCCCCAGCTAGCTGTCTGTGGCACGGGTGCCCGGAGGGTGGAGCAGAGGGTGCCCGCCCCACACAATGCTGAGGAGCTATGCATGGTGATGTGGGGGAGGGGAGAACCTGCGGGGGGGGCCTGCTCTCCGGGGGCACTGCGCCAGCACGGCAGCGGCCCCCTCCCTCGGCCCTCCAGCCCCAGGCCACGCTGGGTCAGCACACTTGCTCCTGGATTTCATCCTCCTGAGAAGTTTGGGCCTCGTCCGTGTTGTTCTCGGAGCCCGCGGAAAAGGCACCCGGCTCGCGATTTGACCTGCTCTGTAGTTGCCATTTCCATGAACTATAATGGGCCTCCTCTGAACCCTCTGGCAAGCAGCTTAATCTTGAAAAATGCTTGTGACGCGACACGCGGAGCGTGAGTAACTTCAGCTGGCTTCCCTGGCCGCGTTGCCATGGCGACGCTGGCGCCTCTCCCGCCCGCTCTCCTCTCGGTGTCCTGCGTCCCAGTTCCAATCGGGAAAGTTTAGTGGGGTCGTTAGAGCCTAATGACACAACAGCTGGGCCTCTGCTGGATCCCGGGCAGCGCGGCCGAGCGGGCAGGCGGCCGCTGAGCTCCCGCCACTCGGCCTGGCAGCGCGGAGAGAGCCAACCTCTTTGGTGGCTGCTGGCAGGGCAGCTCCAGGAGCTTGGGTCTGATTCGTGGCCCCGTCCCAAGATTGCTCTTGCGGACTGACGGACCGACGCGCGGCTGCCGGGAGCTGCCGACTCAGCAAGCGCCCTTGGCGCGTGCCAGCCCAGCGCAGCCCCTCGCTCGCTCCTCCAACAGCCGGGCGCGCATGGATCGCTCGCCCACGCTGCCATCTAGCCGGGGAGGAGATCGTGAGGTGGCCGAAGCTGAGCCTGATGGCAAAGCCTGGATCCTGCAAGTACCCTCCGGCCGAGTTCAGCCTGGCCCTCTAGCCCTGCGTTGTCTCCGGCGGCAGCTCCCCGCCACCACGGCCCTGGGGTTCTGTCGGAAACCCGTTCATCCCACCCAGGCCACCGTGCAGACTGCAAGAGGCCGTGACCCCCCAGGCAGTAGGCCCCGTGCCCCTGACACGCGTACGATTCAGCACATCTCCTCTGGGCCCGCAGCGAGTGCTCCTTGTGTTTGATGAGTGTATTTTTTCCACACATAACATGCATAACAGGCAGAGGGTAAGAACGCTTCAGGGAGTTGTGCGATTTGCAAAGAGCGTGTCACACATGCACTGTCTGCTTACAAATACTCAGATCTATTGGAAAGCCAGCATTTTCTTACGAAAGGGCCCCCATCTTCATGAAATTATAGAGTCACCCATTAAAATGCAGTGTGATCTTTTTTTTTTCCCCGGCCACCATCGAGTTCTGAAGTGATCATTTAGGAGCAGCTATATCATTCACTCTGCATTTTCAAAGATTTGGAATTCTCCCAACTGCTTCCTGGATAAGCGGCGGAAGCCTCTCCAGTCTGGCTGCCTGGGATGCCCAAGCCTCCTTGCCCATTCCAGACCATGGTGAGGGGCGGGCCCTTGCAGCTGCAGCGAGAACAGGCGAACCCTGCAGCTGTCTCACTGGCTGTTGCGTCCCAGGGTGTCGTAGTCAAAGGACTGCACAGTGCCCTCAGCCCAGAAGACTCTGACCAGAGGCAGCAGTCATGTTTTCTGGAAGTGTGTTCTCTGTTCTAACCACGTGGCAACACACCCTCACTGATGATTAGAAAGAGAGGAGTCCCTGAGTGGTGCCAGTGGCTAGACTGCTAGCCAAAAGGTTGGGGTTTGAACCCACCTAGAGGTCCCCTTGGAAGAGAGACCTGGCATGCTGCTTCTCCATGGCCTCAGCCTCAGCTGCCCCGTGGAGCACAGCACCACACACACACACACACACACACACACACAACCCATCAAGTCGATACTGACTTTTAGTGACCCTATAGGACAGGGTAGAACTGCCTCTGTGGTTTCCAAGACCGTCACTCTTCATGGGGGTAGAAAGCCTCTTCATTCTCCCACAGGGAAGCTGGTGGTTTCAAACTGCTGGCCTTGTGGCTCACAGCCCAATTCATAATCCACTCCACCACCTGGGCTCCAACCCATGGGGGTCGACTCCCTCACAATACCCAGAGCAGCCAAACAATTAGAGTCACACCTCCGTGTTTCCATATTTCTTCATGTTCTGTCCAAAAGGGGTGACAACTGCACTAGACACCCCACCTTCCCTGGGGCGGGGTGAGACCTCGTGGTGATGCCCACAGGAGCCTTTCCCAGCCATTGAAGAAGGTGCCTTGTTCTGTTTGCAGATGCAGCCCTTTGACCTCTTGGGAATCACCATCAAATCTCTGGCAGAAATTGAAAAAGAGGTACGTAAGCTACCCAGAGCCGGGATGCTCCCCCCACGGCCTCCCCCTGCTTGCTCACCCGGCGGGCCATGCCAGCCCCACTAGGGATCGGTCCTGAAGTAAGCAGGACCTACCAGCAGGGGCGCCCTTCTGCAAGAACAACGATTTCACTCGCTGTCCTTCAGAGAAAGCAGCTCAGTACATTTAGTTATTTGACTCGGATCAGTCTGTCACCTCCTGGCCTTCTCTAAGCCACCGGGTTTTAAGTGACAGAAGAAGCAACCCTGCATCATTCCATATAAATATCTCCACTTGGTCGAGGGGAGAGCAGGTTGGTGGGCAGGGAGTCAACAACAACAAGCTCCTCCTCCTCCTCCTCCTCCTCCTTCCCCTCCTCCTCCTGTTGTAATATTTGCCACCAGGAAGAGTTTCTTGCGACTGTCCACACTCCCACAGGCAGACAGGAAGGCCAGGGCACAGGCAGTTGTACTTGTTAAGCGAGGTCCCATTGGGCAGCCCGGTTTGAAATCGTTTGGATGTTTTCCTAATAAAAACAGAGAGAGAGAGAGCTCCAGAAGAGAGAGTGGCGATAATGGCCTCCAACGGGAGGTCAGCAGGGTCACCATTTCCCCTCCTCGCAGGGCGGCATTAGCGCTGCGTCTCTCTACATGTATAGGAGGTCGTTAGGCAGCCACGTGCCTGCAGCCGCCTCTCCTCTGAGAGGCACATTTGTCTCAAAGATGGAAATGGTGGAACCATTTCAATATTCTCAGTTCCTCTGGGTTTTCTCTTGTGTACCCAGCTCGAAGAAGCGGGTTGCATGATTGAAAGATGGCTGAAATCAAGGAAAATTGAATCAATGTAGTACAACAAATTTTCAAGCCTGTCATGGCAAAAACAGGACAAAAAAGTCCCCCCTTTGTCTTTGGTTTTCTGTAAATCAAAACAATGAACCTGATTGTCATATAGAGATTTTCTTTTTCTTTTTTTGGCAATTTAGAGGGGAAATAGCTGGGCTGCTTTGCCAGAAACCATACCTGTGCAGAGATGCCCTGTCTCCCTCACTCCAAAGCAGGGGAGCCGCGGGAGGCCCAGAGGGCGTGGGCTGGAGGGAGCTGCCTGCTTGTGAGCACCGCCCTGGCCAGGGGGCGGGCTGGGTGGGAGCTTGTGGGTCTTCATGGAAGTCTATGGAGGGTTCCCTGCTCTGGCTGCAGGGGACAAAACAAAGACAGACCCCGGAACCCGTTGAAGATGGAAAAAACTCATAGGGACGGATGTCTGTCCCAACTAACCCCACCATGGCCTAGGGGTAAGTCACACCCCGTCTCTGTTTAAAAGAGGGGCAAGAGGGGACCCTCTCTCCTGTGTCGTGAGGAACCCTGTGGTGTCGTGGTTTTGCGTGGGGCTGCAGCCACTCTGTGTAAGCAAGATGAAAGCGTTCCCGTCGCGGAACCTCACGGAGGCGGTTCTGCTGTGCCCTCCAGGGCGCCGGGGGTCAGGCCGGACTCGATGGCAGTGAGCCTGCGTTTCTCTGTGTAATGAACATATGTGTACAGTGCCGGCAGACAGCGTGGGCTGCGTCACCAGTGGTTGGGTGTTGCTAGGTGATGTGAGGGTAGCCTTGAATAGCAAGCTCCTGCTGTCCTCCCTGCGCCTCCGCTGACTTCCCTGTAGACTGTGAAAGCGGCACCTCTGTGGGGCTCAGGGGTTCAGTCTGGGCTGACCAAGGTGGAACCACTCCCCACCTTTCATAGACAGGAAGGAAGGTTCTGAGAGGTGAAGTAACTTGCCCAAGATAAGACGCAGACCCAGCTGTGCTGTGCTTCAAACTCCCTCCACTCTGACTGGAAGCCCGCGGCCTCCTAGCCCTCTAGTAGCGCGTCTGGAGACAGGGTGACCTGACGTCCTCCTCCACGAAGCCTTCAGGTTCCTGGGATGGTGGAAAGTGCGTAATTAAGGGTTCCAGTGTAGGTCCAGTGCCCGTGGTAAGAATGACCATAAGCCGATCTAAGGAGTAAAATCTGACCCCAATAGATCCACTCCTCACTTGCTGGCACCGGTAGGTTCTAAAGACCAGTTCAGAGCCCTGTACTCACTGCCATGTCAGCTTTCTGAGACTAACTCTGTGCAGGAACAGACAGCCTCATCTTTCTCCCCAGGAGTGGCTGGTAGGTTTGAACCAATGACCTTGGGGTTAGCTGCCTGATTCCTCACCCACAGTTGCCACCAGGATTCCAAAAAGAGTCCCTGTATTTATGCAGAAGTTGGCATGATGCAAAAACAGAGGTGGGGGTTGTTTTTAGGCCATCCATTTGTCCAAATTCCTATGCACACTGCACATATCTTATTTTGAAGTAAAAAAACAAATGGGGCAATAACACCTGGCGGGCCGGATAAATGTCCTCAGCGGGCTGTATGTGGCCCGCGGGCCGTAGTTTGAGGACCCCTGGTCTGATGCCTTTATATGGGCAATAAAATATAAGTAAACATCTTGCTAGTATTGTCTGCTTTCAGCCAAGATCCGTCTGACACCAGCATGTCCTCTCCTGAAACTGCCTTGAATTCCTGGCAGCTCTCTGTCTAGGTACAGCTGCAACCTTGTGCAAGATTTGACTTGCATGTGATAGTGGTGATGTTGTTCGATAATTTCCCATTATGTTGAGTGCCTCTTTCTTTGGAATGAGCACACGAATGGATCCCTTCCCATCGGTGGGCCAAGGACGAGTGAGCACTCCCAGTGCTCCCTCGATTTGTTGAAAACACTTCCACGTGTACTCTGTTCGTTTCTGGAGCCTTGCTTCTTGCCGATGCTCTCAGTCCAACTTGGGCCTCTTCCTTCAGGACCATCAGTTCTTGATCATCTGCTACATTCTGAGATGCTTGAAGGTTGACCATTCCGTCTGGGTCCAGTGACTCGGTGTGTTCCTTCCATCTTCTTTGGATGCTTCCTATGTGATCCAATATTTGGCTGGTAGAATCCTTCAAAGATGCAACGCATGCCTTAGAATCTGTCTTCAGTTCCCTCAGCTAGAGGAACACCCAGCATATTCTTCCCTTGGGGGTTCCAACTCCAAGTCGTTGCACATTTCACGATAATGTTTTACTTTGTCCAATTAAGCTGCCCTTTCAGATTTTCTGTTCAACTGTTTTACTTCAATTCACCCAGTCATTTTAGCTCCTCTACACTCCAGAGCAAGTGAAATAAGGGTAATAATAAAACATATTCATCGCACAGGATTTATGGGAGTTGAACTGTAGGTGGCTTAGGACGGTACCTACGGCGGTTACTGCTCAGCTAGTGTTACGTGCCGTGATGATTGCTCTCCTCTTCGTCCACGAGTAGGGGAGTGTGAATCAGGGTGAATCCTCCCCATTTTAGCACCTCAGGCTGCCCAGTCATTGATGTCTGGGTAACACCACCATTGTGGACACAATTTAGCTTTGTTTTGTGTTTTTGGTGATGGGTTTAAAAGCACATCTGTGTTCTTTCTTGAAGGAAAATAAAGAAAATGGGGAGAAATAAAGAGCAATTGCATGCTTCAGAAAGGGTGTTTCTTAGCTATTTGGTGCTGCTATAACAGAAATACCACAGGTCGGCAACTTTAGCAAACAAATGCGTTGTCTCACATGTCGGGAGACTAGAAGCTTGAATTCAGGGAGTCAGCTGGGGGGAGGAGGGGCCGGAGACGTTCTCTGTGTCGGTGCCAGAAGAAGGTCCTTGTCTCTGAACTTCCACTCAGGGGTGATCTTGACGTGCCTTGACATCACTCCCGCATTTCTGCTTCCCTCCCTTGCTTACTTAACCTCGTTTCTATCTCAAGAAGAAATGACCCTACACACCAAACCCAACTCACCGCCACGGAGTCACTGCCGAGTCATAGTGCCCCCTGCGGGTTTCTGCGACTGCCACTGTTCAGGGGAGTAGAAAGCCTCGTCTCCCTCCCACAGAGCTGCTGGCGGTTTCGAACTGCTGACCGCAAGGATTGCAGCCAAGCGCAGTCTTGTCTTATTCACATAACAAGGATAACTCATTCCCAAATGGGATTTATAACCACAGCTGTAGAGGCTGGGATTGACAACACAAATGGTGGGGAGGGGACATGATTCGTTCCATAATCTTCTATCTTTGGGTTGGTTAGAGGTAAACCGAGAAAATGGAGTACACATAACTTATTTAGGAAGGAGACCTTGTAGAAGACAAAAAAAAGTTCATCATATCCTTACCACATGCAAAACTTACCTCCCCATCACATCATCTCAAAAGTTGTAAGTCTCCTCCAAGTCCCAAATCGAATCTTCTGAATCTTGTAAATCAAATATAGGTGAGACGCAAGGCACCTTCACCCTGGGGCAACGTTCCTCATTGCCCACGAGCCTGTGAAAGCTAGAACAGGGGCCATCTGTCTCCAGAGTGCAGGGCCGCAGCATCGCCACCACCGATGGGAGACCCTGGATATCAAGAAGGGGTCATGGGTCCCAAGCCAGTCCAAAACCCAGCAGAACAAAGCACATTAGCTCCTGCCTGAGGCTTGGAAACACTCCTCGGTTCTCTGGGACCATCTAGACAATGGCCCACCCTCCAGACTGCGTGTTGGCCACACACACTGGCTTCTGGATGGAGGGCCCTCAGCCCTGAGCGTCAGTTGCCTCCCTCTGTTGGCACACCTCTGGGGTGACAGCTCTGCTCCTTTTGCTTTAGGCCGCCCCGTCCTCTTCATCCCTCTGAGTGGCCACCTCACCCCTTTGGCCTCTGGGCATGGCAGCCCCACTCCCTCAGCTTGGGGCCTGGTCCCATCCCCAACACAGCTAATGGCAGCCCGGACTACACTGAGCTGGTGTAGAGCCAGCTCTGAAAAACTGGGGGGCTGTGACCCCGTCCTTTAAAACCAAGAAGGCCCTCCTTCCTGTGCCCCTACTAACCGTTCTGTTGATTCCCAGACTTTGGCGGGGATGGTCCTTTTTTTTCCCTGGAGGACAACAGATGTAGCTCCTGTGGCCTGTCTCCTGCCTGAAGATTCCAA